GATTGCTATCTATTGTATCGATATCCTGATTAAACCGCGTCACGTCAGCGCCGTATCGAATTTTCTCGCGCCGCGTCGATTCGTATCGGCGCATTTGACGTCGACAACGAGAGACGCAGGTAACTACTTGAGGCCCAGTAAAGTCCACTTGATGTGCCCCGCGTACAGATTTGTGACGCGCGCTATCGCGGAGGAACGTCTTGATATGGCTGCACCCGAGCGAAATACAATAAGCTGACACGGAAATACGATACCCGCTCACCAGGATGCACGTTGCGATTCGATCAAATGGAATCTAGATCTTGTAGAATATTTTACAACGAAATATTTTACAACGCCATCCTGCGGAATCTCTTCGACGAAAGACGGCGGCGGGTCGCGGGGCTCGGGGCGCGAATCTTCGATTCATCTTCGTTCGTAATTAAGTTAATTCGTTGCACCGTTATCAACCAGCGCCGCGTCTAATCTCGCGGTCGTCATAACTAATATAAACCGATCGCACGTCAAGGCAACACGACACGAGAAACTGCAGAGCGTACGCTAATCCATTTCCCCGCGTTGCGATTTTATTTTAAGCGTAACATTTTGGTAAAAGGAACGCACGCGTATACTTCGGCGCGCAACATATAATTCAAACGCAAGCTGCTCATCTCGTCACGTCCGTGCGGTTATACGATAATTTCAAGTTTAGCCGTGTGTTGTGACACCGCGTCGGATGGAAATGCCGCCAGCGGCATAACAAATTGTAAGCTCAACCGCGGCATTCGTCCAGCCGCGGTTCCTCGATACATCAGCGACGTCGGGGCACTACGGTCTTGCGACGCGGCACGGGCGAAAATAACACGGCGGGATCGGAAAGGACGAGAGAACGTACGCGAGGGGGGCGCGAGGAGGCCGTTATCTCAATTAAATTGACCGACGCAGATTAGCGATATGAATTCTACCGCGTTCTAAATTTAATGCCAACGCCTGGTCGCGCGCGGTCGCCGTGCCGCAGAGAGCGCGCGGTTTACGGGTTTTTTTTTAAAAAGGAAAAAAAAAGAGGACAGCCGCGTATTTGTGGGCGCGACAATTTTTCAAGCCGGAATTAAACGGCGAGCGAGGACCGTAACGTCGCCGACCGGTTGCACTCACCGAGATGTGTCGGATCAACGTACGACAGATTAATTTCGGCAACGGTCAGTGTCAATATTGCCCTGATCATCATTTTACACCGTGGATATGTTAAATCCACGCGATATGGCAATTGGGGAGTGCGAACAAAAAAAAGGGATTTCGAGTGGTAAAAATAGACGACACTTTTTTTGATCGTCCGACTCGTCGACGCTGAACTCGCTTACATATTTGAAAACGATAGACGTTACTGATACAGAGAAAAGTCCCCTATTATGAGACAGAGGAGTTTCTGCTAAATTAATAGGCGTCATCTGTTGGTTCCACCGTGAATTTATTGCCGTTGGAGTGTAATCTCTGTTTAAATGAAAACGTAATAGGCAAAATTATTCGACGTATCTCGCAACGCTTTATTAAAGGAATTACGCGACGTTTCGACCGAGAATTTCGGTCCTTTTCGAGTGAAAAGCGCCTTGGTCACGTTCTAAAGTCAGACAAGTGCCGACCAGCCGGAATCTGAAGACTACGAAGTTATCGTGTGTCAAAAAACAGAGTTGCAGAGTACAATAGTGAAAAAGGTGCGAAACAACTTACATGTTTGTCAAGAAATATAAGGAGAAATGAAAATTCCATTTTCCGTATAACATTTATCGCACCAAACTCGGACCAGACGACCAGTCTGTTCGCGCCAACGGTCAGTGTCACAATGATAGTCGAAATTTTCTAACGGTATAAAAGTTACAAAAGACCTACGTAACGGAAAACATAGAAGTCAAAGCCGCGAGAAGAGGCAGACAAAAGCAACACATCCAAACACATATTTGAAAACCATACAATTCCTGTTAATTTGTCAAAAATTTTGGAAAGATTTTCAGTGTCATTCTTGCTATTTTTAATGAAAAACATTTCAGCGATCTCTCTCCTCTTTGAAATCTGTTTAGTGGAAAATTGATCGTCAGATCGTGTAATCGTAGCGAAAGAAGATTTGTGATGAAATTTGGACGTTGAATACCCGCCTATCTCATAATAGGGGACTTTCCTCTATACATATATGTTCGTGCCATTCTTTTACGATTCATTGTTTCCTCAAACGCAGCGTTACAATACGCGGCGACTGCCAGCATTGACGTAGCGTAATTCACTGTTAATTGTTAATAGTCGCGAGGCATTATGGACGATTATACATACGAGGATTATGGCAGATTCTTTAATTTTCATAGACCGCGATTTAATCGCGCATTGTTCGATCGGAAAATTTCTGTTCTCGGCGGGCAATTGAAAATATACCTTCCGCAAATGGTCGGAGTCGCAAAGATAATTCACGCGTTTCTCCGTTGATGTGTCTCGCGCTACGAAATGATACGCGGGCAATGTGAGGGATATTACGGATAAAAAAAAATCACTTTACGAGTGACGAGTTATTGTCTACGTACGTATACATCAACGATATGTCAACGATAGATACACCGACCAATGTAATTGTTTCTTCTTTTTTTAAAACTGCACTATAAACGGAATATAAGGCCGATAAGAGGCCATTCAATTTTATCAGCACTAACGAACGCGCTAGGCGTTAAGTGATTGTAACGTACTGTCGCGCTCGCGTCGATCGCGTCTCCTTCGTATCCCCAATATCCGTTTTACCCGCTACTTGCCCGCGTCGACGCGTCCGCTAAGAAATACGTCTCGATCCCCACGATGCGATTTCACGCACGAGATGCGAGATCGATGTAAAACGAAATTGATCCGCGCTCTAATAACGAGCGAGTGCGAGGGCGAAATAATCGGGAAGAACGGCCGAAAGTAGTATGGGAAGGCACGCGGCAATTACCACCTTCGAGATACGGTTGAAATGCAGCGGCATGCGATGCTGCTATTATGACAAAAACCTTCGTTGTTAGTAAGACAAGATAATTATTCCGCCGAGCTCGGCTCTTCGATCATTTAGGCGTGGCAACACATGTTCTCAGTTCAGCGCTATGCGCGGCGTATATGCGGGGTATACCTATATACAGCGTGTCAGGACACGTGGGTACGGAACCTCTCCGGCTTGCCAACGGCTATTCATTTTCGCAACCCTCACCTTCGCCGCCGTGGGAGGGAGGGATTCCCTCCCTACGCAAATTATTCGATACGCCTCGTGAGGGCCGAAACGAGTTAACGACGCCTAACGACGACGCGTCGCACGCATCGTCATTTTAATGGCGAAAATTATTTACCAAAGGGAAAAGGACACGGCGGGGCTCTAATACGCGGGCCCGCGCCGCGCGAAATTAGCCGATCGTAATTTCTGCAAACGACGACGCTCTCGTCGCCGGTTAGTCGGCGAGAAGTTGCTTTGTAATCGCGCCGACAATATTTCGTGTAGCCTCGCGCGTTCGTTACATAGTCCGTAATAAGGAATACATTTGTCGGGCTATGTGTTACGCCTGCACGTACCGTACACGCGCCCGCGCGCGAGGCTACACGCGAGGACTAATATATACACGTTGCCTGAACGTTCGATCATTAACTACATTTTACTTTCAAATACCTTTAACGAATTAATGCTTCGAACAGAGATCGCGTAGAGAAGAAAAGAAAAACACCGTGAATCGAGCCAGCGTTAACTATCGCCAACTATTAACATACAAAGATGGGAAAACGCTGGAACGCGTTGAAAAGTGCGCCAAGTCTGTGAGCTTGGCGCGCTCTAAATCGACAATACGTGTACATTAGATTTATAAGAAATATATCTTGCTGCATTTTTTCGTGTATTATTATCGCGAAAGACACACGTATAATAGAAACCTTTTACATTTATCATCGGTGCGATACACGCGTCGTCAGGATAGTTTAGCAGATAACGGACGGATCTGTTACCAGCTGAATATAAATAATATTGCGGTCATGTCGCTCGTAATTTGTGCAAAAAAGGTATTTTTCGGGTTTTGATATTTCTGGTTTTCTGCCTGTAATCGCTCCGGCGTAAAGTGGAGCAAAAATACCCGGCGCTGGACGGGAGACTCTGGTAAAAATGATGCATGGAAATTCACGCTATGCGACATTCCTTATTATTGATTATGCGCCGTGATACGCGGATTAGATTTACACAAATCAGAAAAGGGACGAGACGCGATGTTTAACAAGCGCGGCGAATCGGATAGTTTAAATGTGCGGCTGATTCGATTACTTCGCCTCGCAATTGGCGCGATAAACCGTAAACGATACAAACACGTGATAAATAATTCCGATCCGCGATCGGGAAGATCAGCGTTTCCCCGTTTTTCGCTGAAACGCTAAATGTAAGGCGAGCGTCACGTACGAGCATTCGCGGCTCGCTTATTTATCAACGAGGTTACTTCTTTCCAATTCGCTTATCTCGCGGATAATTATCGGTTTTTTTTGTCTGACACGGTGTCGCCTAAGTGATTCTTTTCCCCTACAGCGATCCGCCGAAACGTGCCAGCGCCAAGTGCGATCTCGGATAACTACTGCGACTTATCAATCCGCCCGCGTCGTTGATCATCGATTCGGCTGCATCAATCTTATCGGGCCACTCGCGCCAATTGACTCTTTTCTTTTCTTTCCCCTCCCCCGGCACATACCTCTCGCGAGTCATACGCTCGCAGCCTTTAAATCCTAACGTGCACACTTCACTTGCGAGTGTCCGTTTTCGCATTTCGTTCTCAACAAATTCATCGCACACACGCACGCGCGCGCGCACGCACGCACACACCCACACCCACACACACATACACCAACGTCAAAGCGAACACTAACGCTCGCTCCGAAAGTTAGGCATAATTATTCCAAGCATACGGAGCTGCCGATTTTGGCTCGCGGGCGGGCGCGGAGAGAGTTCGCTCTCCCGGGGAGAGTATACGCGGGATCGAGAGCGCGCTCACCTGTAGATTTGGCGATCCTCGGAAAGAGAACTGTGACATGATGTGTCGGCCGCTCAGGGCCGTGATGGTCGGGCACCGCTACGCGATCATCGTTCCGGAGGTCCGCGGCATTCGCCCTCGCTCCCGACGCGGTCACTTGCACGGATCCGTCGCACTATCTCGCTCCTCTCCTTTCTTTCTCTCTCTCTCTCCTCTTCCTCTCCTCCTTCTTACGGGCGCTCACGGCGGAGGCGCGAGGACCCTCTCTGTCGCGTGTCCAGCCACCCCGCGGCGGGGTGCTACTCGCGTCGACGGCACTCCCGTACGCCCGGTCGTCGCGACTGGCCGCACAGCTGCACGCGAACCGGTCGAGATCGCTGGCGGTCCGCTGCCGGCATATGCACTCGCACTGTCACACGCGGGAACAAGCAGAGGAGAGCAGTCCTCCGGAGCGGTTCTGGAGCTACCGCGTGTAGTCGTCGTCGCCTTCGTCTTCTTCGTCGTCGCCGTCGCCGTCGTCGTCGTCGTCGCGGCCGCACTCGCGGAGCAGGTTGCGAAGAAGAGCGCCGCGCGCGGACGACGGTCGTTTCGCGCTCCGCACGCACTCCGATCACTCTCGCGTCGGCCGAAGAGGGAACGGCGCGGCCCAAGAGTCCTCCCGACGAAGGAGCGCGAGTGTCGCGAGCGAGTCGCGGCGCCGACGTCGCGCGGAGGGAAAAAAAAAGGAAAGAAAAAGATCGAAGGACACACAGAGCGCGCGGCCGCGATGCGTGGCACTTGTCGCGGTAACGCGCGCGATGCGGTTAGTCGCGGACGGCTATTCACTCCGTTGATCCGATCGACGCGCCAGCTATGATCGGTCGCGACTATCCTCCGAATCGTCGTTTCTTTTCGACGGAATCCAGTCCTCCGCTCGGCGGATAGGAAGGCGGAGGTGCACGGCTCGCGAGCGCGAGCGAGACGGCCACGGTGAGGGGGAGCGAGAAGGGTGGATGGGATAGAGGGAGGAGGGAGCGAGACCGAGCGAGTCGAGCGTCAGAGGGACGGGACGGCAAGCTAAGCGAGGGGGAGGGGGGCCGTGAGGGAGAGAGAGGTAGAGTGGTAGGTTGAGCGAGGGTGTCGGAGGGACACCGCTGAAAAAGGAGAGGAATGACGGAGGAGGACAGAGGGAGAGAGAGAGGGAAGATGAGTGAGTGAGTGAGGGAGAACGGTGAGGACGATGCGAATCGCGCACACCGGCCGTCTCTTTTTATCCTCCGCGGTCCTTCCACGCAGCCGGTCGCCCGGCGGCCTGCGCAATCACGCGCCTCCAACTCGCGAAAGAGATGCCCCGGCGTGTCCGTCTTCTTATTCCTTCTCCTCCTCCCGCTCGTGCCGATCGCGGGGGCTCCTCCGGAGCCCGTGGCGCTACCGATCGCGCGCGCACCGCGAAAGCGCCAAGTACAAACTGAGTACGCGGCGGCGCGTGTTTCCGCCGCGTGTGCACGGCCCGCCCGCTGCCGACGCAACGAGGACCAGACACTGCGTGTTGTTCTTGCTCCGTCTTTATGTCCCCCTCCTCTTTCTCTTTTTCTCTCTCTCTCTCTCTCTCTGTCTCCCCCTCTCCCTCTCCCTCCCCCTCTCACTCTGTCCCCGTAAGGCTTCTCCTCTTTCCGTGGGATGACCAACGCGGGAATTCAACTGTGCGTCTATTCGCTATCTTGGTATTCACTTTCACGCGATTGTCTACGGGAGACGAGGTCGCGTCACGTTCACCGGGCGCGATAAGCACTGGTCGCGCCGCCCGATTCCGCGGGCTCGCTCGCTCGCGGAGGGAACAAGCGTGTGGTCCGCGGTCTGTAAGTCGCCGTTGTCGTACGGCCCACGTTCCGCGAGATGACGGTTGATCGTAGGAGGAGAGGCGACGGTTACCAGTGCCGGTGGCGCTGGCGGTAACGATAGTATCGCGCTAGTGGTGGTGGCGGCCCGATGACGAGAGAAACGCTCGAAACTCGCCGCGCCGAGTCTAGCGGTGGTGATGGTGATGGTGGTGGCGGCGGTGGTGGTGGTAGTGGCGGTGGCAGAGTCGTCGCCGTGGTTCTTTTCCTTCCACGGAAAGGGGGACGATTTTTGCGAGATGGTTTGCCCTCGGCGAGGCGGGTGGGAGGGTCCAGATCGGTGTGGCGCGCGGTGTGGTGGGGGTATGGGCACCACCTCTGCCGCTCCGCGGCCACGCTCTCTCTCGCCGCCACCTCGTCTCGTAACCCGCGCGCGAATTCGTTCCGCGGGTAGCTCTCGTATTAGCACGCCGGGTGTCGCGCGTGGCTCTCTTCTCTTCCCGCGCGGCTCGTCGTCGGCATCCTACTTGGTCGATCGGGCACGGAGCCGGCGGTTAGCGTCGGCAAACGCGACAATAAAATATGGTGAGTCGCCCGTGGGGCTCCGGTTAGGCTCCCTGCGCTCTCCCTCCCTCTCGTCGCTCGCGCGCCGCGAGTCCGGGGGTCCTCGTTCTCTCCCGTCCTTTTCCCTCCTCTTTCCTCTATCCTCTTTCCGTTTTTCCGCCTCTCGCTCTTTCGCGCGGCAGCGCCGATTGCCGCCTCTCGCTCCCACGTGCCTCCCGATGCCCCCCACCGTAGGCGCTTTCTTCCCTCTTCGTTCTCGGCTTTCGTTCCCGTGGAGGGGATGGGTTGAATGAGACGGAGGGGGACGCGCGACCGGCCGAGATGCTGCCACGCTCCCGTATGGTGGGGCGAGAAGAGTGTGAGCGGTCGGTAGCGCTCGGAGGGGGATGAACGGAAGGTTGGCGGACCGGGACGACAGGGTTGGCTCGAGGGAGGGCGGGGGGCACGGAGGCAGAAACTACACGACAATTTTAGTTCGATAGATCCCAAAGTTTAGCCTCGGCGGCGCTGCTTTACTTGCCGCTGACTTCTTCCCGGTAGTTTGTTCGTTGCCCTCTCTCTCTCTCTCTCGTCGCTGTCGGCTGCTTCCTCCCCTCCTCCTCGGACACGACCGCACACTCCGACCCGTGCCTCCCACCATCGAGCCCCGAGTCTTCTTTCTTTCTCCTTCTTTCCTCCCCCTTCCCCCCGCCCCTTCCTCCGCCGCGCGAAGACAAGATCGCCGACTACTTGGTACCCCCTCCCGCGCCCAGAGTTAGCTCTAATGCCGCGCGCTACCTGCCACTCCTCCTTATTCTACGCACTACGCGACACTTGACTACACGAACTTCCGTCTTTCTCTCTCTCCCTCTCTCTCTCTCTCTCGCCTCCTCTCCGTTCCTTCTTGTCCTTCGCGCCCCGGTCTCTCTCTCGCTTCCACCCACATCCCGTTCACGATACCGCTCCCACCTGCAGCGCCGTCCGTCTCTCTCGCGCGTTTACATCGCGCGGAATGCGCGATCGTCACCCCGGCGAGCGTATTACACGGACGGCGTTTACGCGGAGTACCGTGCTCGTCCCGACGGTTTAACGCGACGATGTCGCGTGAACGTCCCGTTCGTGCGAAGCGACCGTCAATCATTTCGTCAAATCGTTGCACCGAGATTTCTCGCGATTTCCGCAACTTTCGCGATTCCTCTGCAGAACTCGGACCGGTCGAACTGGTGGATGAGCGGTCTTTTTTTTTTTAATGCTCCATTTCATCGATTTAGAGCATCCAATCGGGACAACGCGCAGACGTGCAGTCTACGATTCTCGAGCGCACGCCAATGAGATAATCGTGGTGACGATGACCAGAAGGACCTTGAAACGCTTCGCGCAATTTTTTCGAAGCGACTCGTCCGCTCGCGCGTACCCGCTCGCTCTACCAACGCCACCACCGGCGAAAGGGGCGGATAGAGTTAGGTATAGTGGGTCGCGGGCGCGAAAATATACCCCTGTCGTCCACGCTGGTGGGGGTGCCTCGCGCGCGGGGAGGGAAAAAGGGACACGCCGATATTTTTCGCCCGCTGATCGACGACGCGCGCACACGCGCGTACCTGCCGGCGGCGATATTTTTGCAGAGTGCGCGCGCGCGCGCGCGCCACACGCCGCACACACACACGATACGCGAGAGAGAGAGAGCGTTGCTCCACGTGTATTTGTGCGGACGCAGGGGAGAGAAATGCGGAAAGTGAGAAAGAGAGACGGAGAGAGAAAGAGGGAGAGGTGCGGGATAAATCGTCCCCCTTCCATACTTCTTTCGCCTCCCCCTCTAACGTGCCACGGTGGGTGCGGAGCTCGGCTTTTTTCCCCTCCGTGGGCGCGGACTAACCTCGCCCCGCCTTCGTCTCCTTCGTTCATCCAGTCCCCCCTCCACCCTTGGCGGAGTCGGTGTGTTGTAGCGCGGCAACGAGAGTGACTACCGCTGAAACTCGTGACGCCGCTGCCTCTCTCTTGCCGTCACCCCGCGACCGACGTTGCACGGCACGCCGAGCGCTACCGCTTCGCGGCGTTCTCGCCCGCGTTCGCCGTCGGAGCGACGGAGGAGCCCTCGGTCCCGCGGGAGCGAGACCGCCGACGGGATCGTCAACGGAAGCGGGACGAAGAGGAGAAACTGGCCTGGCCGGCGGAAGGAGGAGGGGTACACACCGAGATGTGAAACATTAGTGTACCGTTTGTTAACACCGCGGTCTACACACAATCGCGCGCAAACTCTCCCTCTCCTCGCTCCGGCCTCGCCACGTCCGGCCGGCCCCGTCGTCCCCTCGTCGCCCTTCGCTTTCTTTAAGAGGGCGTTGCTGGTGGTACGCTCTGGCAAGGACAAGCGCGTGTGAGCGCCTTCTTCGTGAGTTCATCGCGGAATGCTGGCACGTAGGAGGTATCCTTTTCTCTCTCTCTCTCTCTCTCTCTCCCCCCTCTCCCCCCAAGTCTTCTCACTTCTTCTCGCGATGCTGTTCTCTCCTCTCCTCGTTTCTCCTTTCGCGTTTTTTAACTCCATCTTACCACCATCTTACTCCCCGGTCCGTTCGCCCTTAGGGCGCCGACTTTTCGCGAATGCCGAATTTGTCGTGCACAGAGAACGTCGACGTACCCGCTTTAAACTGCGACTCCGACGACCAAGCTGCTGACCGATGTTACACATCGACGTTGGATCCTCCTGTGCGCGCGTGTGTTTGACGACTCACTTTGATCCCGACCCTCAGAAACGATTTGTGCTGACGATAGAGAAAACTGCAGAGGGTGATCGTCTTTTATCGCCGTCACCAGACGGTATCGGCGGTAAATCGAGATATCGCGATACAGACTTCGCGAGAACTGCTCCCTACAACAATGAAGATCCTGCTGGACTGGTACAGCGACTCCAGCATTGTGCACCGGACCACGTCGCGCTCCCTTTGTGAGACGGACCGTCGTCAGATTATTCGACCGAGTGATTCGCCAATCTGCATGCGCCTGATTTTTTTTTCCAACGCCCCTTGTCGACGTGCATCAGGAAATCCGTCGGTGCCATCCGATAGATATATGTTCGTTCTACCTTCGTCCAATGAAAAAGTGTACCGAGCCTCGACAACTTGTCTTGTGATCTTGTTGGGCTTCCCTCGTCTGGTTGTATTTAGACTTGCAGTCTTCAAGTGCTTACGTCCTTGTAGTGTGTCGCGATTTCGCGATGCTGTACCATTGGCAATTGGCTTAATTCGAGAGTTTATCGACACAACGTTGCTCGTAGAACTTTATGCGGATATGAACATCTATTACCGTAACCTGTGACTCGTGTCTTAGGGCCGGTTTTTCCAATCTCTTGGTAAGCTAACAGTTGAATTATATGTCTATCCTCGTCCGAGTTAAATGAAAAACGGACAGGCACACGATTGAACTTAGTTAACTTATCAAGAGATTGGACAACCGGCTCTTAAATCTTCAATGAGGCTTCTACGTTAGAAGATTCGTAAAGGAAGCAGAGTAACGACCAGTTACTTGGAAATTTATCCATCTCATGTATTACGAAATAAATTCTTTTTTTACAAGTTATAAATGTGCGTTTAGCAGGAATAATTTTGTACAATTGTCAGGTTACACGTATAGAGAGCCCTTAAACAACAGCGCCAAGCATTCGTGAATGCATAATCAGCACGGAAGCGATGTAGACGTTAAGTGGTGCGGTTGACAATTTGACAGGGTAGAGCATACGGAATGTTAGATGCGATGTGGATCAGCGATGCGTATCAGCGATGCACGCAAATGTGTAAAACACACCGCGGACACCGTCGTACGTGTCGACACGATACACACGTGTAAAGTAGACGTGTCCTCTCGCACATGAATTGATCCGCCAAGATCTATATGGAGGCTGTCAGTGTCTTGACGATAACCCGCAATTATAGATCGCGCGCGATAAGCAAAGTGCACGTAATATCGCAAAGCGAAAGGGACTCGTCGTTCGACATCGCCCGGGCAAACTGCGGCTCATCGCGTCGCATGTTCACCGACAGCTCGGCAATTATTCGCACGGAACACATCATGTGTATATTAATGCTTAGTCGACGTCGCGAGAGCGATTCTCCCCGAGAAGGAGAGCGGAACAGGTGCCTCGTACAATTTTAGCGCACG